GTACATATGACTATATGTACATATATATATATGCAGTTTATATTCATATATACATGAGAATAAGGAGCTCTGATGATGTAGTAGATAAGGCATTTGGCTGCTAACTAGAAGGTCAGCAGTTTAAACCCACCAGTAGCTCCATAGAAGAAAGATGAAACAATCTACTTCTGTAAAGATTTACAGCCTTGGAAACCCAATGGGTCACTAAGAGTCAGAATCAACTCAATGGCAGTGACCTTGGTTTGGTTTTCTCCATACATAATATAAAAACAAACCAAACCAAACCCACTGCCATCGAGTTGATTTTAACTCATAGCCACCCCTCTTTGGGTTTCTATGGAAGTAGATTGCCCAGTATTCCTTCCAAGGAGTGGCTGTTGGGTTACAACCAGCAGTTAGCAGTCAAATGCCTTAGGCACTACACCACCAGAGCTCCTAGCATAATATGTATTTTTATTCCAAAAACACTCATTGTTTTTTTTGCAAACCATGTAACTCCCTCATTGGTTAGTTTCCTATGAGCACTATGTTCATTTTATGCGTGTGTGCACTATTTACATGGGTGCACTACATGGAAAAAAAATATGGTATATAACTATAAGCTATATATAGATAAAAAACGAAAACAAACAAACAAAAAAAAACTAAACCCACTGCTATTGAGTCTATAGCAACTCGTAGCAAACCTCACTGGGTTTCCAAGGCAGTAAATTTTTATGGAAATAAATTGCCCCAGCACAGTGCCTAATGCATTTGACTGCTAACCAGATGGTTGGAGGTTCAAACCCACCAGCCACTCTGTGGAAGGAGGACATGGCAATCTACTTCCATAAAGACTGACTACCTTTTAACCCAATGGGGGTTGCTATGAGTTGCAATGGACTTGATGGCAGTGGGTTTGGCTTTTTATATATAGCTAGATAGTTACAATCATTTATGCTTTCTAGTCCTTTTTAGGGAGCTCTGGTAGCATAGTGGCTAAGGCACTTGACTGCTAACCAGAAGGCTGGCGGTTCAAACCCACCAGCCACTCCTCGGAAGGAAGGTCGGGCAATCCTACTTCCGTAGTGATACTGCCTCGGAAACCCAAGGAGGGGTCGCTATGAGTCAGGGCTGACTCGACGGCACGTAACAACAACAAAGTCCTTTTTGGTCTCTCCTGTGGTTTTGCCTCTGCATAACTGATACTCTTGCCCCTTTTGAGTATCTCTCATTGATAAACATTTCCTTAGTTTACAAAGTCACTTTTGTATTCTATCTGAAGCTTCCAAAACCCACACTCAAACCCACTGCCATCAACTCAGTTCTGACTCATAGTGACCCTAAAGGACAGAACAGAATTGCCCAATAGGGTTTCCAAGGCTATAAATCTTTAGGGAAGCAGACTGCCTCATCTTTCTCCCTTGGAGTGAGTGGCTGGTGGGTTCGAACTGCTCACCTTATGGTTTGCAGCTGAATGCATTAACCACTGTGCCAAAAAGAGTACTAGAAATTATCCACCCTAAAGTAATTTGCAGACATTGAAAACTATTGTAATTCATTTGTTTTGGATACTAACATAGGGATTTTAGTTCTGGAAATATTATCTACAAAAGTGGGAAATGAGATTTCTGAGTAAGATTAAACTAATAAAAATGATCACAGAATAAAATACTAATACTCCACATCAGTAGCAATCACAATGCAGTTCTTAAGAGAACAGATGGCAAGAAGTCTGTAGTAGCTGGTAGCTGCAAGCAGTCAATGGACATAATTCTTTATATTAAATACAATCATATATATCTAGTTGGGTGATCTACTTC